CCACAGCAGCCCGGCAACATTAGAATGGGCCCCCATCCTGTCTGTCATTTACCAGCTGCGGGACCTCGGACACATTACCACCCCCTCGGAGCCTCAGTTTCTTCACCGGTGAGATGTGGACCATGATGCCTCCCACACCTTGCTTTGAGAATTAAATGCGTAGCAAACATCCGTTCCTCCCTTTGAGGAGTGTTTATTGTCGCCTGCTGTCCCCTGCAGTGACTTGCCACAGTGCATAAAACAGGCTTTAATCAGTGTTGGTCCCCTCTTGCCTAGGCTAAATTTATCTCGGGAGTGGCTTTCTATGCCTGCATTTCAATGGCAACAGGGACTGGTGTTGCAGGGACTAGCTTCCCACAGGTGGCTCTGAGCAGCTGGGGCCTAGAAGGGGCTGAGGGCTGGCAGAGTCCTGTCTGGGCCCTGTGCTTTCTTGCCCTGGCAGGCTTCTCACAGAGGTGTTCCAGAGGTCAAGGCTTCCTCAGAGGTGGTTATGTGCTTGGGTGTCGAGGAGCTTCCTCCGACTGCAAAGTCAACGGGAAGCCAATGAAATTAAAGAGCAGGTGTGGGCTAAGAAGAGGACACAGCAAATTCTGAGCCACCGAGTCACAGAGTATCAGAGAGGGATCGACAACCTCTCATTTCGCACAAGAAGGAACTGATACCCAGAGACGGGGTGTGACTTGCCTGGGGCCACACAGCGAGCAAGCGAGAGGGCTGCAACTGGAACACAGGCTTCTGGATTTGTGGTCCAGAGTACATCTGCTTTGCCCACAGAGCAGGTGTTTATGTCAGTGAACTTGAATGCAGGATCAGCTGGATTTCATGTACATCGTGGAGGACGAGGAACACAGTGTGGCTGCCCATCAGCATTGTCCTTTGTCAAGCTCCACTGCACACTCAGTGCAAGATGCTCGCCCTGCCCCCAAGTGGCCAGGAGAGAACTCGCACTGAGGAACAACTCCATTCAAATGTATTCATTCGTTCACTCATTCGTTCATCCCCCCGAACACTTATGAGCACCTGTATGTGCTATGGGTGCTGGATAATTCATGCTTGTCTGACCTCTCTTCCTGGGCAGGAAGGAGGAGCTAGGATTCCTCACAGGCTGGGCTTTAAGAGAAGCCGTGGGGGGCGCAGCTGGCCTTCACTACAGGAGGGGTCTAGGAAATTTGGAATCGATATTCCATTTGAGGGTGGCTAGGACGCCAGGGGGGCCAGACACATCCAAATCAAGGAAGCAGAGGGATGGAGCACCTTGGTTGGAGCAGAAATGCTGTCAGAGGGGTCATACAGGAGAACAATGGATGGGAGAGAAAAGCTAAGGGCACCAAGTGGGCTTCGATAATATCTACAGCCCTAAAGAGTCAGTTGGGTACTTTAGCATGGAGTAGGATTGTTGTGATGGTTCTTTGCTATTCTCCTTAACGAGAATGAGGGCAGAGAAGAGCAAAATCGAAGGATATGATAGACCAACCCCTCCCCCACTTTTCTATCTTGCTAAAAAACATACAATGTTAAATTTACCACCTTCACCATTTTTAGGTGTACAGTTCAGTACTGTTAAGTATTTTCACACTGTTGCGCAACAGATCTCCAAGCTTTTCATCTTGCAACACGAAAACTCTATACTTGCTAAACACGAACTCCCCCTCCTCGCTTGCTCCCCCAGCCCTTGGTAACCGCCCTTCTACTTTCTGCTTCTATGACTTTTGACCACTTTAGATGTCCTTTGCCTGGTCCTTTTAAAAAATCTGTGTCTAGGGCGCCTGGGTGGCTCAGTTGGTTAAGTGACTGCCTTCGGCTCAGGTCATGATCCCGGAGTCCCGGGATCGAGTCCCACATCTGGCTCCCGGCTCAGCGGGGAACCTGCTTCTCCCTCTGACCCTATCCCCTCTCATGCTGTTTCTCTCTCTCTGTCAAATAAATAAAAATAAACAAAATCTTTAAAAAAAAAAAATCTGTGTCTAGCACTGTTCACAGATGCAACATCCTCCCATTAGTAACATCTCCAGTTGCGCACGCACACACCCCCACACACACGCATGCATGCACACACAGGCACACACATGCATGCGCGCACACACCCACATACACACACACACACAGACACACACATGCATGCGCGCACACACACACCCAGGAAGAGAGCAAAGGGAAGGGAGAAATGACAGCAGATACTCACATAGCCAGCTCTTGGGTGTTGGGAAAACCCTTCCAGAAATTCTGGATACTCCCCCAAGAATATGCCCCCTTGCTGAGAACTGCTCCTGTGGACGGAAAGAGCGCTCCCAAAGCATAGGGGGCAGAGCAGAAGTCAGTCACAATATTTATTGAGCAATCCCAGCATGCAGAGTGCTGGGCAAAACACTGGAAGGAATTACAGTGGAGGTTGGAGGTTCGACAGCTATTGTCATGTGCGTCACGATTACAGTTTAACCGAATGGAGGAGATACATGTTAAGCATATGCAAACATGTGTGACCAACATATAGATACATGCATTGCTCATTCACCACTACAAGTTTATCATGAGAAATTACCACAGTAACTGGGGCACCAGAAGCCATTGGGACATATGGGTTGAGGAAAGATCAAAGACACAAGTTGTAATTCACTGCACTGGTGATGTGTGGAAGCTACCTGAAAACACTAGAAAATACTAGGAACTTCGTGAATCTGTTTTCTTAACTGTATGGGCCCCTTTAGTTCCAATTCAAATTAGTAATCCACTGCAGCAGGAAATAAAGGCAGTTGATTCCACAAACTACTTGAATAGCTTTATGTTAATAAAAATGTTTCTTAAGTAAAATCAGCCTGTTGATGATACTGTTCCCAAAGGTGAGACACAGATTCTGAAAGTTAATAGCATTTGTCTTCTTTTTTAAAAAAGCTTCCATTATATGAAAGACCATCCAATGAATTTTAGTGAACAGAGGCATATTACTGTCCTGTATCTGGGAAATCTTATTTATATTTTTATGTACTTTTTAAATTATTTTAAAGTAGGATTGCCAGATAAAATACAGGATGTACGTTAGTGCATGGGGCATTCTCATGCTAAAAAAAATTATTTGTTGCTTATTTGAAATTAGAATTTAACTGGACATCCTGTATTTTTATTTGCTAAATCTGGCAGCCCTATGCAGATGTTAACGCACCTTTGGAACTTCCAGACGTTCCCAATAATGGGGGGAGGGCCTAATTTATCTTTATTTATAGGCTAACACTGTCAAAGGGGAAGGCTTTTTCTTCTGGAAGGAAAATTGTAGATTTTGTAGAATTTACTTAAATAATGGAGACAATTTCACGTCTTATTCCTTTTATCATTTAGCAGTACATGCTTTAGTCCATCGAATTTTTTTATCTTGAAATATTTGAGATGACTGGTTATAAATACTAACATGACACGGCAGCCCGAGAAATAGAAAAACTAACATCTGGCTTGAAAAGTCTCCTATAATAAATGGTCATGTTCTCAATAATGTTTCATCTGTTAGCACACGGCCATCCCACCCAAAAAATTAAATGGTGGCACATCTTAAGTTACACAATATCCCTTCCCCTATTCATGACCCCTTCGTGCCACTGTCTTCCCTTTCTCCTTTTCACATGGATTTTTTTTCCATGATTGAAATCACCGACCTTTGTGCATCCTGAAGAATGTCAGGCCTGGAACAACGGATGGTCACGGTCCCATGAAAGCCAGGAAAAGAAAAACTCACTTGTCAGATGCTTGGAGGCATGGACACTATGAACTTCCTCCCTCCCTTCTTCCTTCCTTCCTTCCTTCTTTCCTTCCTTCCTTCCTTCTTTCCTTCCTTCCTTCCTTCCCTCCTTCCTTCCTTCCCGGCTTTCTTCCCTCCCTCCCTCCTTCCCTCCTTCCTTTCCTCCCTCCTTCCTTCCTTCCCTCCTTCCCTCCTTCTTTCCTTTTTTATTCCTACACTAGCATGTACACTTGTTTCTGTCCAAAATGCCTGTATTAACTTATTTAAATAGTCAAGACAATGTTACCTCGAAAAAAAAAAAAAAAAGAAAGAAAGAAAAGTGCTGGCAGAGCGGATTGATACATTCTATTCTAGAAATGTACTTCCTACTATCTAAATTTATAGCTCATGTCTTATTTTAATTGAGATTTCTAAATTGGAGGAGAGAGATTTAACCCTAGTTTTGCAAGGAAAAGTTCACATGGAACTCTAGCTGTTGTGAAGGAATGTAAAATGATAACAATTACTGAATTCCAACATCCATTCACTATTTTTTTTCTTTTTTCAACACACTGAAGAATATACTTATATGTAAAGAACATACTTATATGTTTGGTTTGTACATATATATTACTGACAAATACATAGGTTATATTTAATGGGACAGACAGCTTTGACCTTCAAAACTATTTGCGAATGGGGTCCGAGAATGCCAGTTTTTCTTCTGGGACTGGCTATACATGTTTCTGTTTCCACCCCTGGACAGGTACACATAGGTTACAACTCTCCTTTCTACCTGGAGTCCTTCTGGGAAAGAGGCAGTGCCAGATGAGTATGAGAAATTGAGGCAAAGAAGCCATGGGGTTCCATATTGCCATATAAAGGAGGGGTTAAGCGATATATGTCATTAAAGTAGAAAAAAATTTTCTGTGTGCCTTCTGGCTCTTAATGTTCATGATGGGAAGATGGCATTCCACTCAGCTATTTGCCGCAAATCTCTTTTCTTTTTAGAAACATAAATTCCCAATTCAATCTCTTTAGACAACATTCCTTAAGCTCTTTTGATGACACCATAAAATTATGTCTCTGAATGGCCCTGGCCAACGTCAAAAAGAAAAAGTCAGGCTGTTGTCTTACTTCAGAAAAATGGCCAGAAGAGGGTTTGCTTCATGTTCCCTTTTTGTGGTCATGATGAGAGGGGTGGCTACACTATGTACATGATAGACTCTCTCCAGAGGCAAAGCAGCCTCCACACTTCTGCATCAGCAGATGAAGCAGAGCTCAGAACTGTGTCACTGGGGGGAATAAGAGCCCACCCTGGATGTTCTAGAAACTAATAAAGCTTAAGTAGGGTTCACATCTCCGTTTGGACCACGTGTTTGGCATCGCATTTGTAGAACGAGCCCCGTTGGACTCCTGTGACTGGCCTGTTGAGGTGTTTCTGATGGTGAATGTTACTGAACCCTTCCTGCCTGGACTTGCCCAGAAACCAAGTCACAGCCCCACTCTGCTGGAGTTTCCCCTGGAACCCGGATGAAGGATGAAAAGCGGACAATGAACAGCTCCCATGGGCAATGGAATCTTCCTTCCGGTCTCCGCCCTCCGCCCCTCCTTCCTGCAGCCCTGGAGGCCCGCACAGCTCAGGGGGGCGGCGCCGAGGCGCTCATGTGGCTGTAGGAATACCTGGACAGAGAGGCCCCCGTGGTCCTGCCTTCCTCCTCCTCTCCCACCTCTCCTCTCGCTCCTGGGGGACCGGGGTTGGGGCAGCAGGGGAAGGTGGCCATGAAGCCAAGGCGGAACCGTTTGTTCATGAAGCAGTAGATGATGGGGTTGACACAGGAGGAGGTGTAGGACAGCAGGAGGATGAAGGAAATGGGGGTCCCCGAGAGGCGGCGCTCGGCCGACGCCGTGTCATAGGCCCGCCAGGCGTTGGCGCTGAAGATGGGCATCCAGCACAGGAAGAAGAGGACCACGATGACCATGAGCATGCGGATCACCCGCTTCTTGGCCATGAGGTTGGCCGCGGAGCTGCTACTCCTGATGCGGTTGACCCCACCACTGCTGGGGGTGGACAGCTGCTGAAGCTCCAGCTTCCTGCGGGGCTTGGCCTTCTGCAGGTAACACCCATCGCTGTCCTCATACCTGCTGCTGCTGCCGGTGCTCGGTTTCCTGTCTGGATGGGCAAGTGACATGGCTTATTGTTGGGGATGGGTCACGCGGGGCAGATGCCCCCTCCACCGAGGGGGTCAAACCAAACTGGAACTGAAGCAGGGGGCAGGCATCCTTGGGCCTGTGCTGGTATGGGTAAGTACTGATCTACAGCAGTCCTTTCCTTCAAATGGAAAGCTACTTAAAACTAATAAAGTAATGTGGGGTGCCTGGGTGGCTCAGTTGGTTGAGCCTCCAACTCTTGGTTTCCGCTCAGGTCTTGATCTCCGGGTCTTGAGATCAAGCCCCGCACTGGGCTCTGCACTGAGCCCAGAGTCTGCTTGTGATTCTCTCCCTCTCCCTGTGCCCCTCCCCTCACTCTCTCTTGTCTCTCTCAAGTAGATAAGTAAAATCTTAAAAACAACAACAATAATATATAATCTATCATATACATAGTATATAATAAAAGAATACTTTACAGACATCAATTATAAGGATACGAATTACTAAAGAGTGAATATTCACACTCTTTCTTTTCCCAGATCCTCAGGGGAAAGGTCCCTGCTTGCTTGGTAAGCTTCCAGAATGCTTTTACTGGGAAACCTGGATAATGAGCAAAAATCAACCAAAACCAAAGAAGCCCTGGAGACATACAAGTTCCGGTAAAAGAGCTGAATGAAGGGGTGGAATGAGAAGGGCAAAAAGTTATATCAACAAAGGTGTTGGGGTAAATTGTAGTGGCTAGTGGATTACAATGAGTGGGAAGAAGTTAGGTTTTGGGCAACTGCAGGGTGATAAGGAAAGGGAGACCAGAGGTGGGGGGTTGGAGTTACAATTCCCTTCAGTTGTGGAAGGAGGGGTCCGTTGGAATGCAACACTGCAGACAGTGAGGGACACACGGGCCCTCAGTTGATAACTGGGTATATGCATGTTAGGTCCGTTTTGAGAGGGACAATTTCTCCATTTTACAGATGAGGGAATAGGGACACTAGGTCTCTTGACTGTGCCTTGCGGCACAGAGTCTCTCCCAAGGATACTTCCAAAAATCTCCAACACACACTCTGGGTATAACTATTTATGTTATAGGAACCAAGCTTTTGCGATATTTTGGCATAAACCATACAGCAAAGAGGTAGTTACCCCTAGCAGACTTCTTCTGGATAGCATCAAACTTTATTCCTTGGTAAAGTTCCAAAGAGATCAATCCGTACGCCACCATCATCACGATTCCGGGAATAAGAAAGAGGATGAGTAACAGGAACGTGTGCCTAATAAAATAAAAAGAAATTCAATAACCATAAACTCCAGTATTTCAAACTCAGACGGGATGGAATAAATAGGATTCATCTCCATTTCAACTGGTCTGGGCAAACACATTAATTACTAGTATCTAATAGCCTTGGAAATACTATGTCTGGAGGTTCGGTCATTCGAAGTTGCTTATTTCTCTTCTTTTTTTCAGATAAAGTCTATTATGAAGGACTAGTTAAGTTGGAAAAGGCTGGTGTGTTCTGTGCCCGAAACAAGCCTTCATGTAGAACCGATGAGAACTTAACAACAGCAAAGGCATGTGAATAATCTCAATAAAGCTGTTACCAAAAACATCAACAAATACTGACAAGAGCTTACATTCATCGAGGACTTACTGCGCGACACACTAGGCTAAGCATTGTACAGATAATAATATTTCATATATATATGCAACACTAGATTTAACTCCCATAGTAACCTTTGAGGTAGGTACTGTTACCATAATACCTATTTTATACAGGAGGAAACTGAGATTTATAGAGATTAAATCATTCATTCAGAGTCACACACCTAGCGGCAAAGGGGGTATTTGAACCCAAGGAATATGCAATTCTAGAATCTGTGCTTTTAAGCATCACAATATACCATTTGTTGACTTTACAACAACAGAACCGTCAAGCCCATAGGTAGGAATGATGGATGATCTCCGTGGTTTTGCACAACAGGGTGTTCTGGCTATTTCTGCCCCATTGGCACAGTGGTGGGCTCCTTCTAGTGCCTGGTGGGGCAGAGCTATGCTTTCTCTAAACATGTTTGATTCCTGAAGCCCCACAGCCTCCTTTATGAGTCTGGCCCCTAAATCATTTTTGCAGTCTGGCATGTGTAAGGTTACAGGATTAGGCCGTAAAATTGTCAGAGGCTCACAGTGGCTGGCCATTTCTCATTTCAATTGGACATGTTTTGATAAGATTCCTTTTCAAGTCTTGGAAATGTTTCTCTCATTTGCAACATAACTCTGTGTGTGTGTGTGTGTGTGTGTTACTTGGTTGAAATAAAAAAAAAAAAAGGAAGGCAAAGAAAGCAGAGATTATCTCAGTTTTGAGCCATTTTTGAATATCTAGTTCCCTGATTCTAAAATATGCCTGGAATTCGTAAACGTAATACCCTGCGTTTGTATTTTTTAGAATATTTAATGACATTTTCATACACAGGCTCTCCTTTGAATCTTATAGCCACCAATGAGGTAGATTAAAAAAAATCTCTATTATTATATCGTTGCATAGATAAAGAACCTGAACCTCAGAGAGGTTCCTTGCACTTGTCCAACGGCAGTCGGCTAGCAAGCAAAGAAAGCCTTAGAATCTCGCCTGTCTATGTCTAGTGAAGTGTTCTGTGTGCCAATACCATAGCTGCAGCTCTAAAAAAAACAAAAAAACCCAACCACACGGGATTTGGGACTCATTCTCTGCTTTATCTTCAGTTCTTAGAAAAATCATAGCCCTCCAGATGCTGTAGCCAACCCCCCGCTAGACCATCCAGAGGCATTCTGCATAGCGGGTAAGCAGAGAGGCTCTCTCTCTTCTAGTTTTGTGACCTTGAGCAACTCACTTAACTTCTCCGTGTCTCAGTTTCATCATCTGCAAAATGGGGATGATAACAGTACCTACCCTATCGGGTTTTAAGAGGATTAATTGAAGTCATATGTGTATGGCATTTAAAACAGAACACGTAAGTGTCTGCTATCACTATTATCCTAAAAAGAAGTTAGAATAATCCTCCTCAAAGTCTCCTGGACACGGACCTCCCCCAGCCGCTCTGGACAATACATTCCCGTTTTTATAAAAACTGCACACCGTGACAAGTCGCATTTCGCAAATAAACACCACACCACCTTACCAGGACTGCTGCATGACATCATTTGGCAGTAGAAAGCGGCACATATTCGCCGTCTGGTTGTTATTTTTGGTAAAAGGCACCAGGCTGCTATAAATTGGGTACGGAGTCATAATAGTGAAGGAGAGGCACCAGGTCATGGCAATCACCTTCAAAGCATGGGATTTGGTCTGCCAGACCCGGGACTGTAAGGGTTTGCAAATTGCACCGTATCTTTCCAGAGATATGGCTACCAGATTAAAGGTGGATACACTCACAGACGTGCCTGGGAAAGGAATAAAGAAGCTGGTTATGATAGCTCTGAAATCCCAAGTTTATTTGCACATTAGCTTAAGCATATCTGCTCTGCACAGGTTCGATATCGAGGGACAACACTCAGAGGGGAAGAAAGATCATGTACCTGTATTTTTTTTTAAATGATTGATTCCCAGCTTTGCTTCAAAAAGGATTTAAGGCAGTTAAAGAAATGTATTTATGAATATATATGATTGCCAACATTTAGATACGTTTATTGAACTTTGATTACAACTGAACTCCTTCTCAGGCTGAAGTTGCTCATTAATTAATAACCAAGGGGATGAGATATGTTCCTCTCCCACAGAAGAGGTTTTTGAGTCGCCTAGAGAGAAGCTCTCATTTTGAGCATAACCTGAAGTTAAGTTGACCTAATAACCCAGATTCTTAAGGACGGTGACCCTGAAAGGTCACTGGGGTCTGAGCTGGAGGCATTAAAACTTTCCGAGAATTTCTAGTACAGACTCTTTTTAAGAATGAAACATTATAAATTTGAAAAAGCATTCTGTTGAAAAAACACATAGTAAAGGAAGGATAAAGGGAGGTCACGCTATACTGTAACCAAAGGTTGCTCCTGGTGGGAGGACTAGAACTTTCCTTCTTATTCTGTTTGCTTTTCTGTATTTTGTAGAACGAGCATGCATCATCAGCGAGAAAGACATCACAAAACCTCACAATGATGTGCTTAGGCAGAGTAAAAAAAACTTAATTTTCTTTAACTTTTGTATTTTGTGTGTGTATACTTACTATCACGTCTTATCCCCTAAAAATTCCCTTTACCTATTCACCCATGGATTCTGTCAGTTTTTCTGATTATCTTTAGCATGATTTCTTCAGCCTTAGAATGAACCTAAGTTGGGGAGAAGAAGCTCTTAGCCTGGGGCCTTTTATGGGTATAAATAAATTCTCTGAAACTGTTTATAAAAATGTTCTCTTTTCTAGGGTGATATACTTACAGTATTCCTTAGAGACTTGAAGGAATCTACAACCCCAAAACCATTAAATAAAAACGCATGTTCTGAGACAGGATGGCTGTGTTTTCCTGCACTGTACCCCAAGGAACTGATGACACTGAGATTACAGAGTGTAGCCCCCGCATCTTCAGAGTCAAATCTGTATAATGGGCTCATTGTTATTATAAACCCACCATCAGGCAAGCATTCTTTCTTTCTTTTTTTTTCTTTCTTTCTTCCTTCCTTCCTTCCTTCCTTTCTTCCTTCTTTCCTTTTTTTTCGTTTTTTTTTTTTTGCTGCATATAAGGAGTTTAATGAATGTTAACTGTTAGGAATAGTATTGAGGAGAACACAGAATCAAGGGCAGAATCAAAATCCCCGGATTTAGAAATCCAACCAAACCATTACGGTATTGCAAACAGCTTCAGAATTTTCTTGCTTTCCATTTTAGCTATTTTTAAAAACATTTTTTTTTTAGGTGAAACATCACAAAAAATTAACCATTTTCAAGCGGGCAATTCTGTGGCCTTCGGCACATTTACAGTGTTGTGTGATCACACAAGCACTTGTTTTAAATCTCCTTTCACAGACCCTAGTTAAGATTCTTAAATAATATTATCACAAGATACATATGGGTGGGCCATGAAAGCTGAAAGCGCGAGGAGATGCTAGTTAACTGTTATTGCTTCATTGTTTAATCATGATCCCTTTCATTTGTAGGTCTGTTTTTATTTTCAGAGCTCTTGGACAAGGACGGACACTTTCTTGGTTGTTTGTCCGTGGGACACGGATCAGTAATTCATCATCGTTTTGTCAGGGTTGGATCCCGTTGCCTCAATGGGGAGAAATCAAGGCTTTGAAAGCTTTCAGGTCACTGAGGACGGCTCCAGGCCAACGCAAGGCTGAGGTTAGAACAAAAAACAACCCTCCCTCATTTCCCGCCTCTCCTCCTCCCCGCAGCTAGTACTCGGAAGGGGTAAGGCACAGGGCAATCTGGCAGACAGAGAGCCGAGAAACATCTTTGTTCGGCTTCAGGGGAACCCCAGCAGCTGGCAAACTGGGGCGGCGTCCTCACCCACCACCGTGGTGGCTCCTGATCTAGGTTCAAATCTCAGCTCTGTGGCTTACCACCTGCGTGTCCCCGGGCACATGATCAACCTCTCTGTGCTTCTGTTCGCGCCTCGGTGAGACGGGAAAGAACAGCTGTATTTTATTTCGCAGGGTGGGTTGGGAGATGAGATAGTGGGAGTAAAAGCCCTTTGTACAACATCTGGTGCATAAAAAGTACTCAAAAATCTCGGCTCTTGCGATTTGTATTTATCATCATCATTTTGATTGGCAGATTGATCTGCATGTCTCAGCCAGTCAGGGGGAGCTTAATGACCCACAGGCTCTGGGAGCAAAATCAGCTCCTCAGTTAGTGTCAGAGGGCTCTCTCTCTCTCTCTCTCTGCCCGAGAGCGTCCCAGTCCCTGGGGATCAGGCTGGGAAGTGAATCCTGAGACAGGAATCTAGAGCTGGGATGAAACTGGTTTTCACATAGCCCCTGTTCCCTAGGAGAGCAGGCGCAACAACAGAAAGAACCCTCCTCCACCACCCCCACCACCCCCAAAAGCCATGGCTCGGCTTGGGCAGAGCTCAGACTACGACCTGTGGCTTCCAGGAAGGGACAGAGTCGCTTGAATCCTTCTTTCTTTCTAGCAGAAGCAAGCAAAACCAACCTCTTCTGTGGGTGCTTAACAACTTACTCCACCCTGAGAAACTGACCTCTGAAACAGATGACACACAGGGAACTGACTTCTGGCGACACGTGAGGACCGACCTACCTTAAAGCCAGCACCTGCGTCCTTGCACACAGCCCCACGCAGCCAGATGTTTTTTTGTTTTCATTTTTTTCTGTTTGTTTTTTTGGTGGGTGTTCTGGTTTTTTTTCACTCAGCAGGACGCCTCTGCTGAGGCTGTCAGGGGTTGGGAAGGTCTGGGGCCGAGTGGGGTCTGGGGCCAGCTCCAGAAATAGTCGCCAGCAGCAAACTCACCCATGAAGTAGGTGGTGGTCTTGCAAACAGCACTCCCGAAGATGAAATCCTTGAGCAGGTTGGGGATGAGGTTGAACGGCATGCAGAAGAGGCAGAGCATGAGGTCGCTGACCGCCAGCGAGAGCAGGAAGATGTTGGTGACAGTTCTCATCCTCTTATTCCGAATCAGCACGGTGATGACCAGCGTATTCCCCAGCACACTGAGCAGGAAAATCACGGAGTACAGGAGAATCTGCACGGCTGGCTGCCACTCTGCAAAGAGTAACGGGGACGAGACAGAGGGACGGAGGTTATGGGAACAGAATGTTAAAACCTTAGCACACGAAATGAACGGTGATTTCCTGCAGATTTTTTTTTTTTTTTTTGCAAGGGTCTACAATCACTGAACCCGACTATTCCTCTAGCGACAATATTTTGCAGAAGCAAACTGAGGAGCGCACGGAGTGATTCCGTTGCTTCTGGGAGGTTAATTTGTTAAAAAATCATGCAGGGAACCACTTTTTCTTAAGAACAAAGCTTCTCCAGTGACTAGTGATTGCTTTCTTTTCCCAGCTGCTAAGCATGATTTCACTTTAATCACTTTTTCATGCTGGATTTCCCCCAAGAAAAGGTGACAGCTCGATTGTGACAACACCTTTTCTGCGATGCTGGTAAGTTCCACCTTCGACACTTGTACCCCATTCTTATGACACTTCAGCTCCTCCTCCCTTGGCTTTTGTTCCCCCTGCCCCCCATGTCCTATACACCCATCTCAACTCTCCTGCGGGGGAACAATCAGGGTATTTGACTCAGTTCTGCTTTTTGATCTGTTATCCAAACTTGTGAACGTATGACTTTATCCAGCCTGGTCTCAAGAGGACTTTGTTATATTTTCTCTATCAGCCTCGTCTTTGCTGATTTCTCCCTCCCCTCGATCATTCTCTGAATTAAAATAACAGTGTCTGACACCTACCTTTGGAAGGATGGGGCTGATCCAAGCAGAAAAGCGTCTCATTTTCGATTCCCAGCTCACAGGGAGGGGTGATGTAGCTTCCATTCACGAGAAGGCTGTCGACCACATCCATCCTCACCTGCTGTTCTCCAAGTGCTGGCGAGCTGGTGAATTGCTCACCCTCAGCTCATTCCTCTAATGACTGGAGAGCCTCCCAGACGCAACCTGCCGTGCAGGGGCAGGGAGGGAGGGATTTCCAGGTGTGGGCTTCTGCAGCCATTCCTAAAGGCGACGTGAGTTCACCCCGCTCGGTCCAGCTGGGCAAGCATGTGCTCTCCTGTCTTGGAAAAGGCAGCTCAGGCAAGCCAAGCCTGCTCCACCTTCCGAGCCCACCCCTCCCATTCCTGGGCCAGTCTAAGGGCCCTGAGCACAGACAGCTGGCCTGCGAGTTAACCCTTCCCAGAGTGTCACTGCTCTCTTATACACACTTGTACACACACAGATACGCATGCACGGACACAAACACACACGCTTCCCCGGTACCTCTCTTCTCTGCATAGGAACCTGTCACCAACCCAGACATATGCAGAAGAAAGCCCAGGCTGGCTGTGTGAGACAGGAACAATTAACACGGTAACAGATACGATAATGCAGACCATCAGGACTGAAGGGCACGGAGGGACTGCGTTTCTACCTCCTTATATAAAAGCAATTAGTGCCTTTTTAGCTTTGGAACCATGCCCAGCAATGTGTGTAGATAGAACTGCCCTCTGGTTGTTAAGTTGTTACCAACCACACTGTTATTTCTCGTGGTCTCTGCCCTTGTTAACCGAGAGGGGAGGGGCTGCTTTTGGATATAGGGTTCCGGATCCTTATTACAAGAAAAGTTAGTAAGATCTCCCATTCATTCATTTATTCATTTGTCCATTCATTCAGTGCAGATTCACTGAGAGTCAACCATTTGCCAAGCGCTCTCTGAACACAGAAGCAAATAATGAACAAGATCCTTTCAGATAGTGTTAAGCACCACGAAGGAAGGGAAGCCAGATGATGCAATGGAGAGGAATGGATTGGGGGCACTAATTTAGGTGAGGTGGTCAGGAAAGGCCTTCTGAAGGAGGGGACCATGATCTGACATCTGGAACACAAGGAGGAGGAAGCCTAGGGAAGATCTGGGGAAAGCTTCTTCTAGGCAGGAAGAACGGTGTTTTCGGCAGAGGTCACAGCAAGTGCAAAGGCCCTGAGGTGGAAATGAGCTTGGCCTCTTTGGGGAACAGGTAACAGTAGAAGTGAGTGAGGGGCAAACAGTGAGAGGTAAGATTAGAAAGGAAGACCGGCCTGGGGGGTCTGGGTTTTCTGCGAAGCTCTGTCGCCCTCCCAAGCCCCTCAGTGTCTGTCATACAGATGGTCTCCTCAGTTCAGACCTTTGGCGAAGCAGATGGCAGCTGCGGGACCTGTGTTTCTGACATGCCACGTGCCTGGCTGACAGTGGGTCTATTTGCTAGGTATCTCTGGGGCCCTTGTATACTGACAGCTCTCTCAGTTGACAGAGCTACGCACTGCATCTTTGCTGAATGCAGATGAACTAACTGGTATTTTTGCTGTGGAGGCTGAGGATGTGGGCTGGGAAGATAGAGTGGCACCTAGAGTGACAAATAAATCTCCCTCTCCCTCTGCCTGCCGCTCCCCTGGTTGTGTGCGCTCACTCTCTCTCTCTGACAGATAAATTTTTTACTTATTTACTTATTTATCTGTCAGAGAGAGAGAGAGAGAGAGAGAGCACACAAGCAGGGGAAGTGGGAGAGGGAGAAGCAGGCTCCTCGCTGAGCAGGGAGCCCGATGCGGGACTCGATCCCGGGACTCCAGGATCATGACCTGAGCCGAAGGCAGTCGCTTAACCCACAGAGCTACCCAGGCGTTCTAATAAATAAAACCTTAAAAAAAAAAATAAACATGTTCACCCAATCACAGATCATGATATCAATAGCCATCAAATAATAGTTATTATTTTCCTTCTATGCAGGAGGAAACTGAGACTCAGAGTGGCTCCATGATTTGCTGGTGAGAACCAGCACTGCATACCCCCTGGAAGCCCCAGCCTACCCATCCTCACTCCACTTCCTGCGGCTTGGAACCTTCTTTGTTATCCTAGGATCATGTAGCCCATTTGTTGCCAGGGCCCTCCTGTCTGCTCATCCTTCCTGCCACGTGTCCTGTCGGCTGGATCTTTCCAGCCTGCAGACCGATGTGACCCTGCCCACTAGGAGGGGACCCAGTGCTGTGCTGGCCTGATCTGGGGAGGGATAAACATTCAGGTTTTGAGCCCAGGGAGTGGCTAAATTTCACCCTCCTGCTCTTCCCAGCAGCTGGCTGCTGAGTTGCTCCAATTGGGCAGACGTCCCTCTAGCCGCTGAGGCTCCTCACACCCATCAGTAGCTGCTTTAGCAGGTGGAGAAGTGTGCTGCCGCAGGTCCAAGGGCAGAAGGGTAGGGGGCTCCGCCGACCTGCCCTGCAGTTCCGTCCCTTTCCTCCCTCCCTCCCTTCTTTCCTTCCTTCCTTCCTTCCTTCCTCCCTCCCTCCCTCCCTTCCTTCCTCATTCCCTCCTTTCCTCTCTATTCCACTTGTGTCCAGTGGCTGGCAGGAAGCGAGAGTGGAGTATAGGAGGGTGGGGGCTGGAGATATCCTAAACTCCCAAGGAATGAGTGTGGTACATTTGAGTGCTGTGCTTGACAAACTTCAGTGCATATCTGAAACACCTGGGTTGGTGCTTTAAAAAAACCGGGATTTCCAGGCTCCCCTCCCAGGGATTCTGACCCTTCAGCCCCAGACCTGGGAATCTGCTTTTTTTTTATCCAGTGTCCCTGGTGATTCCAAGGCCAGTGATCTCAGGGTCAACTCTATCGGGAAGCTCCCTGGAAGCCATTAAGAGCATGAACACAAGCATCAAGCTGCAGGAACCCAAGCCTGGCCTTCACCTTTGGCCAGCTGTGGAACACGGACAAATTACTTAACCTTTCTGAGCCTCAGCTTGCTCATCACTAAAATGGGGATAACATAATGCTACCCATAAACAAAGCAATACATGGAAAGCACCCAGAACAATGCCTGGAACATAGTGCTGGACACTTATTATTGGTGGATAAGATAAATGCTGGGGATGCTCTATGTATCCCCATTATCATGGCCAGGCGAAGGGGTCTGTATCTTTAGAACTCAAGCACAGTGATTGGCATAAAGGATGTGTTTGGGAAATGTGAATAATGAGTCAAGAGTGAAAAACTGGGAGAACCAATCTTTCATTGCTTAGTCTACCTTTTTGTAACTCTATTATATTGGTTCTTTTCCTGGCCAGCTCTGGATTTTTCACTCTGAGTCTCTGAGCCAGTGTTACGTAAGAATTAAACCAGAAAAGGGAATTCCAACTAAAACTTTTAGGGCTTTCAAGGGAAGAACGGACGCATTTTCCAGGGTGTTAGTCCTTATTTCTTTCCTCAGCACACATCTATTGCGAGCTTCTACGTGCCAGGCACTGTGCTAGCTACGGGGGATAAGCCATGAGCAAAGCTGGTGAAAATCCTGCCCTCATGAAATCCTCAGTCCGCCGTGGGCGACAGGCGATTATTAATAAACTGGGCAGAATGGGAGTGCCTCTCCCACCTCGGAGCCTATCCTGGGATCAGGTACAGTTCCAGGCAAATTGATAATAATTTACTAAATTGAGTTGAAATGGTTTAAGTGCCTTCCCTCTTCGAGGCATGCAGTCCTGGGCACATAAGCCCAGGAGCCTCCCGCACTCCCCAAAGCCCTTCTGGTGCAGGGGACTCTCTTCTCGGCAAATGCTGGAAAGACAGAACACCAGCAACCTTACCCGGTTCTTAGGGAAGGAAATTGGTAGCCGCTCCCTAAACCGTTCTCCATCTTAAGGAAGAATTATTCTGAGACACCAAAAAAAAAATGCCTATGTATTTTTTTTTTTCTCATTATCACATCAATCACAGGGTCATGGCAAATTTTGTAAATAAAAAGAGATAAGTATAATTATAAGAGTCATGAATTTCAGGTCCCCGCATGATTTATCCTCAGAGACACAGTCCAGAGCCCGAGGTAGTTAACAGGTAATTGTACGTTGTGGGGTACCCAATTCACAGGGCACCTTGACATTTCTAAAAATTCTCTTGCCTCTCCTCTACAATTCCACCCCCCCCCCC